GATGTGGAGATGTCGAGAAAGGATGTGGGGCGCGATCGGGAAGTGTGCGTTGAATTTGGTTGGCAAGAGAACCGAAGAAGCGAACGAAGATAGGTTGGGAGGTTCGATTGGGAGATACGTTTCGATTCTTCTTCCTCGAAGCGAAATTTTGTAATAACGCTCTTCTTCTCTGAGAAGAGGAGAAAAAGGAAGATTTTCAAACGAATAGCATAGGGGAATTGTTGGATGTTCGAGCACGTGAACCAGATTGCACTTGAATCATCCCTGAAAATGATGAATCCTGCCGATCTTGATTACTCGATTATCGGTGTTATCGCAATTTCCGTTCCTCCTCGGCGAAGGCCGATTGTTAAAGCGCCCGCCAAGATGCTAATAACGCATTACGTTCTCTTTCATTGGCAGCAGTGGTACGCCAACCAAGAACCGGTTGTTACATCAATCCGGAGTGACAGCCCATTCAAAACTACTCTCTTCGTAGAATTCAAATGTTTCATTTGGAAAAAATTTTCTCTCTCTCTCAAACATCTTTTACATCATTGGTGCGGGCAAATGTTAGAAACTCATTTATTTATCGAATATTCGAAAATGAATATTCATTTTCCATTTCAAAACTGTCTGAACTCTTTCAAGATTCGTAAAGATATTAAGAAATGGAATATACTTTAATCAAGAAAGATAATTCTACATTAAGTGACGTTACACTCGTCGTACGATCATTCTTAATGTATTCAGGACTAGCGGAAATAATCGTAATCAAACCCACACGCCTTCCGTCATCTTTCCACCGTTGCGTAAATTATGGCCAGTCTTTTTGAGGCAAAGAAGCGAACGGCAAAAAATAGGTGGACGAGGAAATATTGGAGAACAAAGGACGAGGATGGACCAATTTCTCGTCCACCGGTTCATAATTCTTGCCGCCAAGCGCAAGGTCCGATTGGTTACGCAAGCACAGCAGGCGTTCGGTCCGCATCGCCGCGACTGCAGGGACTCCTGCTGCAGTTTATAGTCCCCTTCCCCTCTCCGTATCCCTCGTCTACGTTCCAGAGCTTCGGCCTCTTCCCCCAGCGAAACCACCGCGACAATATTTGCGGGAATTCGCGAAGATAACCGAGGAGATAAAAAGGAACGGTTAAAATCTGTGCGGCGACGGTGGCGCATGGTTCGTTAGTTCGAAGATTCGAGATGGTGGGAAGATGTAACCTCGTTCGAAAAGGAGGGAAAGAAAGAAACATTACCAAAATGAAAAAAAAAGGCGTTACTCGAATTTAAACGGGAAAAAGTTTGAAAATAATTCTTATTCAACAGCGACGGGGAAATTTGCAGGGAGAAAGTTTGCGATAATCCTCCCTGGAGATTGGAATTGTAAAATACTTTTCCCTTTTTTTTTTCAAAATTCCTCGTGATGAAGAAAAATTGTCAATAACTCTTATCAGGAGTTACGCTTGCGTAAAAGTTTTACGGAAACTTTCGTAAACGATTCGTCAATCTTCTAACTGAACAACACGGTATTCCGTCGTTTCCTTTGTGAAAGTGGGAGAAAATATTTTTAATAAACGTCCAATTGAATGAATCGAATATCGAATATTTAACGCATTGTCTCGAAACGACGAAATTAGCCAATTTTCCAAAATTCGAATAAAGCATAATGGAGAAATTTAAAGTCTCTCGCAAAAACCGCGCCCCGATCCCCAACCACCGACTCCAACTCCAACTCCCGTTTCTTCTTCGAAACGTTGAAACTAAATTTCGACTCCCTGCGGGGAGAGAAGAGAAGCCTAAAAGCCTTAAGCCGGCTGCGTTCCGCA